TTGTTGTAAATGTAAAGACACGGAAGGTAGACACGGTTCCTCACAATAACATCGATTAGCTCGTCGGCAGTGCTGTCTTCGCGAAAAAGAATCTCGCAGTTGAAGATTTCTGCAATCATAAAATGGTTACAAACAATGAAGTTGCGTTACGATAACCTACTGTATTCGTGGAGTATCATCTGAACGAGCTTCTCATTAATGTGTGTCAATGGACACATCGAGTTGAAGGAGACACCACCGGTTTTCTTTTCTTTGAAGTAAATATTTGGCTTTTGCTTGTTCAATCTGATGCCCACAGCTTCGAGCTCATTCTCGAGAAGTTCTCGTTGCACTTCGCTCTTTGTAGCATCCAGCATGATAATGACCAGGTCGGCAGTTCGCGCCACAGCAATTACCTGTCGACCACGGCCTTTGCCTTGAGAAGCACCTTCGATGATACCGGGCAAATCGAGCAACTGAATATTGGCCCCTTTATACTCGATGACGCCAGGAATACAGGTCAATGTGGTGAACTCGTAAGAGGCACATTCACTTTGTGTGTTTGTGACGGTGCTTAGCAGGGTAGACTGGGTTTAAAAAAAGATAAGTCAAACAATTACATTATTAAATCGGATAAACCGGTACCTTTCCGACGGAGGGAAACCCAATCAATGCCACACGAGCGTCTCCACTCTTTAGTACATCAAAGCCCTCGCCTTTTTCCTTGGTTTTGGACGGTTCAAGCAGCTGGGCTCGATACTTGGCAAGCTTTGCCTTCAGCAGACCCAAATGATACTCGGTAGCTGTAAACCAAATAAAATCAGTTTTTTAGAAAATCGTTCATTTACAACGACAAAAAACAATACCTTTGTTCTTTTGCGTCCGCGAAATTTCCCTCTCAATTTCGGCGATCCTCTCGAGAATACCCATCTTGTTTTCCGGTGTTTAGCTTGCCCAACTTCACTGTCACCGGTTAAGAAGATTGTCTAAGAAGATTGCGATAAAAAACAATCCTGTTGCCCACGCAGGCGATATAAATCGCCTCTTGTATATTTTCCCATAGATTTTATATATTTTGCCACACGTTTTTAGCCTGCCGTCAGTAGAGGACGTGACTCTACTGTGGGTGAAGAAGAGGTTTCTGCGTGCTCTCAAAACAAAAGACTCACTTGAGCCGGATCGTTTCTGAAACGTATTTTCTTTCCTCGTTCAAGTCGCAATCCTCATCTGTCACCTAAACTTCCCAGTGTTGTTTGACTTCAAATCCGAAGTAGAAACGAACCCGTCGCCATGTACAACGGAATCGGCCTAGACACTGCTCGTGGCAGTGGCACCAATGGCTACGTCCAGCGAAATCTGAGTTTTGTACGCACTGCAAAGCCAAAAGTCGATTACAAAACTGAAGATGAAATTCGCCGCTTTGAGTCTGAGTATACGAAACAGCCAAATCAGGAGATTTTGGAACATCATCGAAAACGTAAAATAGAAGTGCAGTGCTTGGAACTGGAAGAACAGCTGGAAAAGGAAGGGTATGTATTATTTGTTTAATTGACATATTTAAAATGATTTGATCATTATGTAATATTTTTTATTTCTTTCAGGCTTGACGAGGAAGAAATTCAAAAACGCATGGATCAACTGCGCCAAGACCTAAATAAGCGAATGGAGAAAGCTTTGGAGAATCGTCGAGAGTTTATCATGGAAGTTCTCAACGAAAGAAGGTAATATATTTTTTATTTTTTATTTTTTTTGCTTTAACTTTGCATTCCACGTTGTCTCTTATCGCAAAGTTTTAAAATGAGTTTTTGTGTTGTTTATTCACTATCATCAATTCTTAGCTCCAAATGGAGCGCAGCTCAACGGCTACTGTAAGAAATGTGGTCACTATATAGCAACTTCTTTACCTCAGCATAAAGCCACGCTATATGGCTAATTTGGAACGTTCCAACACAGTGATGTGTAATGGATGCGTACATGTTATACTCTCTGCGCAGCTAATATGGCTGACGATGGTTGAGACTGGACTGCAGGCTCAGTAGCCGCCTGAATGGGGTGCTGCTCGTTTGGTGGTCATCTTCTGTCGTCGTTATCTATCCTTATCTCCTGAGGGCCAAGTCTGAATACTTTGCTTGTCAACATCACAGTCAACTTGTTCTTTTCATTTTTCCAACAATACCCTAACAGTCCATTAGCTGGGGCTGATTGGCCCTCTTTTATTTGCGGCGGCACTTTAAGTGCCCGCTGCAGTGTCCACTTGAGTCGTTTATTTTTGTCCATTTTATCATCACCACAACCAGTTTTTGCTCAATCAACTTGCATTTGACTGATTTGACTTTCACACCCTAACGTTTTCAACTTCACATTCATCTAATTTACATATAGCATTCCCAAAGTGATGCTTTAAAACCAAGCTGATTCAGCTTGTCCAACTTCAGTGCCTTACGAAGTCTTCCAAGAAGTCAGATGTAGCATCCTGCATTCTGCACTTCTGCCAAATCTCATGTCTTCCAGAAACCCATTTTAGCCTGTCAATACATATCACATTGCAATTGACATATCAGATGTTTTCCTCTATCTATCTCCTCAAGATGACCTCTCCTGACTCCCAAGCCAGGTGTGATCATTGCTCATCTTCTACGTCTTCCACTCCCCAGTTACCCATTCTCCACCACAACCAGTCACCCTTATACTCCAACTTGTTACTGCTAAATGCCCTTTATCCACAACTAACCCCTCAATCTCAGTCGATAGAATCTCAACTTGCTCTTAAATCTTGCTGCACTCCTAGTCAAAGTAACCTTCTTAGCGAGCTACTCAAAGTAACACCTCATGTTTCGGGCACTTGTGGTGAAGCCCAATGCACAGCAACTGCCGACAGTCGGCCACCGTTGACCTCTGCAGCGAAGCGTCGCCACCGGCGGAAGCGCAATCAGCTGAAACGCTATGCATATCTTGCCAGTACCGTTGCCGCCACCACTGCCTCCATGTTGGACGCTACTCGGCCACCCACCAATCTGCCCTCTTCCACTTTCTCTAAGCGCAAAACAAGCGCCCCACTAATCTATAACCACAACTCTTTTAACTGCAATCATTCTAATTCTGATCATTTTTATAATTATTATAATGCCACTTCCAATAAGAGCTACTCGAGGTACGTTTCCTGCAACTGCTCTTTTGCTACTTTGTACTCAGTACTGTACAGTAACAATCTTTTTTTAAACTTGTGCTTTTATGTTTATCACTTATTACTTTTTTTATGACTTACTAACAGTGTTTCATTTTTTGTTATTGCAGCTCTAAAAAAGAAAAAGAAACTCATCAACTCGCTCAGCTGAATCAAGAGCGAAATGATAACCTGAAATCGGCATTGAAAATCAGCGCCGACTTTGTCGAGGGCTCTTCAATGAGCCTCATTCGCCAGGCTAAAGAACAACAGGCAGCCCGGGAAGAACGTCTTCGAGCTAATAAAAACGTGATTGATGAAAGGATTAAAGAACAGGTCGGAAAAAGGGTATCGCCTCCTGCAGATTCACCAAAAACGGAAAAGGTTGAAAAGAAGAGAAAACATCGCCACTCATCCTCTGACTCTTCAGACTCGGACTCCGGTTCTTCTGATTCTAGCTCAAACTCTAGCTCGAGCTCTAGCAGCTCTGACAGCAGCAGCGATGATTCTTCCGATAGTGATGATTCTTCAGGCAGCTCTTCAGAAAGTGACGATTCTCGCGGCAAGTCTCCTAAGAGGGTGAAACGCAAATCAAAGAGTAACTCTCTCAGTCGTACTGCAGCTACTCGACCGATGCGACGATCACGATCCCGATCACATTCTCCAGCTGCTTCTCCTCCTCGTCGAGAAGCAAGTCGCAGTCGAAGCCGAAAGCGGAGTGACACTCCACCACCCAGTCGAAGGCGAGATGTCCGCAGATCATCGCCTCAGCAGTACAGTCGCCAATCTCGCCACGATTCCCCACCTCCACGTTCTTCATCCCACCAACGTCCGCCGCCCAGTCGACGTAGCGGGGGTGCAGCTCCTTCTCGTTCTCGCTCTCGATCACGCAGTACGACACCGTATAGATATCGCACCAATCGTTCAGACTCTCCTCGAGACCGTTATGGGCGAAAGCCAAAGGAGACTGCTGTTTCCTCTTCTCGTCGACGATCTCCAAGCACTAGCTCTCGTAGCAGTAGAAGTAGCAGCCTCAGCAGTCGTGGCAATAGTCGAAGTTTGTCGCCCAAGTCTGACAGGTAATTTTTTAGGCTGACAACACAAACCACGTATTAACTTTTTGCTTTATCTTAGATCTCGAAGTCCTTCAGAGTCGAAACGTCGTGGCTCTCCGAGTTACCGTGAAAAACGTCGCATTACCAGGTACTGAAAAATGAGCAATAGTAGTCCAATCACATAAAAAGTAGTTGCCAGTTGATATTCCCACCTCTAAATATTTGAGGACCCTTTTTCGATTATGAACTACAACAAGTGAAAGCAGATACAGATAAACAGTATCAATAATCAAATTTTAATTTGCTAACTAAACTATTATTTTTCTTTTTTCATTACCTTCTTAAATGGCCCTCACACACATACCCGTTTTGGATTTGGTTTTCCTGATTTTATTGTTTTTGCCCCTACGTAGTGTTGCATACGTTGTCAATCGGTGATTTCCTTTATTAACCATTTTTATACTTTTCACATCTGCAAGCGCTCGAAAGCTTCCGGTGCCGTACCGAAGGATCGACTTGAACGTATCTTCGAAATAAGTTGATATCAGTAAGTAGTGGTCACTTTTGTATTTTTGTCCTAATGTTTTTGCTCATCTTTCAGGTTCTACTGATCTCCAAATCCATCACAATATATCAGACTGCTATCAAAGATTTTAATTTGTACATGAAATTACTCAATCATTCAATAAAATTACTAGTTTAGAGTTGACAGTATTTTGTAAATGTCATGATGGATAGGAATGTTTCCAGACTTAGAACCTCACATTAGCACTTCGAAGTTTTTGTGCTTATGACTTTATTTCTCAATTATCAAACCGTTTGTGCAGCGGTACCTTCTCAAACAAAAAGACAAAGAAGAAACCTTAACGCTCATAATGTTTGCACATCTTGACCATCTTTGCTGTAGTTCATTTTCTCCCTTCCCAGTGCCGATTACTAATTGCCTAATCTGCACTTGATAACTGCTTCCCCGTGAAGGCGCCTAACAGTGCTTACCATTAACTGGCGGCGCACATTAGCGCGGCAATGCAGCCTGTCTGCAGGCACCGATTTATGAGCACCAATTAAGAGGTATTCACAGTCGGCGCTGATGGCGTCCGAGACATGACACTGCACTGCGGGTGAAAGGGCGACAGTGCCACTGGGCACACATAAACATACACGCACAGACAGGCAGACATTGAGCAAGTGGTCACATTTTACCGTCAATGCGAGCATATTTACCTGTTTCGGTCTTATCGCCTCGCTGACTTGGCTGGCTGGCTGGCTTTCTCTTTGCCTTGGCCCGCCAGACTGGCTGATGTCCACCGATTGGCGAATGTTACATTGACTGTTGCGATTAGACTCGCGCTGAATGCGACTGAGTAAGTGAGCCATTTGTCCCAGTCGCTCACCGTCTCACTGTCATCAGTGTGTTGACATACATGGACGATGTACTGCCACTAATACTGTCACTGGCTGACGCTAATTCCCCACGTTTCCGAGCGTTCACACTGCCCAACGCTGGGCAGAAGATGGATGCAGCTGATGATAAATTTATCAAGAGAACAGGAGGAGAAGACACATAGCCCCATTGCGCCATTAGATGCGTATCGTCCTGCCGCCGACAACATCTTGATGATGCAGGACAGTGTTGGACGCCATCAGGACGACATGCACACGAGTCACTCAGACACGGTGATCATCGTCGGTGCCATCAATTGGTGCATCCTTTTCTGCAGCACAGCAAAAATTATCCCCTCTTTTTCATCAGCAATGCAGAGACAGTGCCAATTAATTGAAGCATCACAGGCAGAGAAAGAGAGTGAGTGTAATGAAGAGATGCGTGCATGGCATTTACAATTGCCCATCACTGTAGGTAGCTCCTCATCAGTGTGGTGGCGGCTGTCAGGCCGTTGTCGCACCGTTGTCACCGCACATTAGCTTCCATTCATCACTCACTCTCGGTCAGTGTTGGTCGTGGTCCGGACGTGGTAGTCGTTCTGTCGCCTATCACCACACAGTGGCCAAACTTCTTCTCATCAACATTTACAAACTGCTCCTGTTGCACACTCTCTGCCACAGACTGCCTTTTTCTGCTTTTCAGTGCTGTTAATTTAATTTGCAATTTATAATCAATGTCGGCGGCGGTGATTTGTATCGGTAGCAATAGCGAAAGACAGCTGTCCTTGTCGCCGTCGAAGGGGCAAGCTACAGAAGCGACGGCGGCAGCTGCTGATGATGAAGACGATAAAGATGATGGGAATGATGGAAATGATGAAGATGATGGAGATGATCAAGACGTGATCGTGATCGATGCCAGTGTGCTGCGCTAATGAGCACAGTCAGCACATGAGTGTGTACATGTCAGCTGAGACTGAGGCGTTATGATTAATTAGCGACAAGTGCTCTACTTCCAAACTGTGTGACCGTTGAGCGTTTTGTCAGCAGTTTACTAGGTAAGCATGATCATCCGCCGTGGGCCATTCATTTTCTCCTGCTTGAATGAGCCGTGCCAAAGTCAGCCTTTCTCAATTAAGCTCACAGGTGCTAAGAAAAAAGCAGCGTGTCCTCTTCACTCTCTGAGCATCGTGTACCAGCGGTGGTCAAGTGCCACTTGCCGGCCACAATCAGCTGCCCAGTGTTTGCTTCTGCTTGTTTTCAGTGTTTGCCAATTAGAGCAGCACTGTGCTGCCATTGATCACCTCACACTGACTGGACTATTAGTGCTGCTGATGATAGGGAGACAATGCACTCGGCGACTTTGAGCTTCAAGAGAAGTGCAAATATGGCTCGTCTTCACTGTGAACCTTTGATGTTTTCAAGATTTGTTTGCTTTTGCTAGGGAAAATGGTAGTTGAACATTGGAGCCACTGGGCACTGAACAGGCAAACAGACACACACTCACTTCACAGTACACTCATCACAGAGCACTTCGTCGATTGTGATGTCTTTCTCTATCTTTCTTTCTACTTCGTTCAATGATGTTTACCGTGTACTGATGTTGTTTAGGTAAGTGTACATAATTTATAGCCACATTAACGTGTGTGCTTTGCATTGGCACTTGTTCATTCTCTCTCTTCTTTCCCTCCCCCTCTTAAGCATTTGCAGTAAACATCTATTTATGAATTGCCAAGAGCAGTTGATGATTTAATTGAGAGACACACCGACACTGTCTACTACTAATTGACTCGTTTATCATCGCAACTGCAAGTTGAGCACAGTCAGTGAGGCGAACGACACGAGTGCTGCTGCCAGCATTACAGCGGCGACATTAGACGATAAGTTGCACTCTCACAACATTGTCAGTGATGGCCTCTTTCCATCACCTCCACTCTCTTGTCGGAACGCTTTGTCAGTCTAAAAGACTTACAAAAAAGTAGAGCTCGTTTCTTGAGTCGATCTAGTTGTCGCACTTCTACGATTTCTCCTGTTCACCAAGTTCACAGTTCCGCCGGCGCCGCAGCCACCACCACCGATTGCCCATTTGCCGCCAACTGTAATGCCCTTGTCCTCTGCTAATAACTTACATAAATGACTCTCTCTTGAACCTTTCTCCTGATGAAGGAGACCTTGTTCAATTTGTTTACCAACTCTCGCTGCCGACTTTGTGCTCAAGTTTGAGAGTTCATTTCATACAGTTCTCGGTTCTTTTTCCTTAACATAGAAACAGCGTTGGGTGAACCGACAGAATTGGCGACCACTTCTTAGTAGCAAACAAGAAGGAAAATGTCTAATTGCAGCCTGGTTTGTCTGCGACCGTCCACTGGCGGCCATGTCGATTGCTAATTTGTTTCTTCAAACACTGCCTCTCTCCAAACAGAGTAGACAGCTCATAGCTCTTTTTTCGCTTAGTTTCACTTTGACTTGATTTATTGCACCCGTTAGCGCCTTATTCGTTTGCTGTCGACTCTGTTTGTTTGCCTTCATTTTGAGAGCGGTGTGCATGTGTTTGTGTGCATGTGAGTAAGTGCTCAACACTGCCTGATTGCCCAGCTACTGAGCTGTCCTATCCGATTGCACTTTCTGTCTGAGTGTGTGTATGTATGTTCTTAGCTGACGGTGAAAAAGAAAGCACCTTGTGCTGTTTTGAAAAGTGCGGCGATCTAATCAAGTCTGCGCCGTGATTTACGGCCATCGACGACTGCAGCGGAGATTCATCGTCCGTTTAGCTGTCTCTTTCTCTCTTTCTATTCGGTGTCCTATGGCGCCTCACAATTGGCGCATCCTTTGCAATCGGCGGCATCGATCTCAAGTTTCGCTCTATGTTCGGGTGCCTGATGCCCTGCCAAATGCACAAACACTTCAGCAACGAACGCTGGCTTTGCACTTTAGCACTACCAAACGCGGTCGTCCCCCAAGTTGATTTATGTCACCGCCGACCAGTTCTTTTCCTTCTGCCACTCATTAATTTTTCATTTCGCCTCCTTTTTTCTCTTTCAGTTCTCTCTCTCAGCTCGCAGTTCACCTGGCACCGCTAACCTGCACTGAGCAGCCATTAATCTTCTAATTTCACTAATTATCTTGTCTCACCTTGTAGGCAAATGCAAATGGCAATCGTCGT